TTTTTTTAAACTCGGGTGTCGTAAGTAATCCCAAAAATAAAACGTTCATCCAAAGAAACCGCAACTTAAATTGTTAATTTTTCGCACATTGCCGCAGGTCGCAGGCACGAGAGTCGTCTGCCGGTGAAGTCGCAGCGCAACGTTCGCGACAAGCCCAGAGCGCCCGCCGCGGCCGAGCTGGCGAAGAATGACTCGCTCAGCTCCCTCAGCCTGGACTCGTTCGGCTCCACGGACCGCGAGATTTTCGAGGAAACGGTGAAGGCCGGCCTCTCCAGCGTCAATCCCCGGGCGGGCGCCCCGGACGGCGGCCGCGGCAAGGCGCACTCGGTGGAGCGGCCCGTCGAACCCGCGAGGTACAGCCGCCAGCACAAGTCGCTCGATCGGAGCGACAAACTCGCGCGGAAGCCGCGGCCCCGCGACGAGTGCGAGAGGACCGCGAGGGGCCCCGGCAGGGCGAGGAGGCCCGAGCAGGAGTTCGCGGGGCCGAGCCTGCCGCGGTCGCCGTACTCGTTCCACGGCGAGGCGGGGGGCTCGCTGGCGGCGCAGGCGCGGCGCGGCCGCGGCGACGACGGCCCGGCCAGCCTGCCCGCGCGGCCCCGGGAGCGCAGCAACTCGCTGAGCTCGCTGAGCAACGACTCGTTCGGGTCCACCGACAAGGAGGTGTTCGAGCGCTGCGTCCGCGCCGGCATGGCCAAGCCGCAGCCGCGGCGGCGGGAGGAGCGGCCGCGGGGCCGCAGCGACGACCGCCTCGACGCGCGGGACCAGCGGGAGCCGCGGGACGCCCGCGAGGCGCGCCGGCGCAGGCGCGAGGCGCGCGGCGCCCTGGAGCGGATGGGCGGCGCGGAGGACTCGCAGGACCGCGCCATTCTGGAGGAGGTGATCGCGCGCGGCGCGGGCGAGCGGCCGTTGCCAAAAAACGTCCCGCCGCCGTCTGCGGCGCGCGCGCCCGCAGGCGAGCACGCGGCCCCCGCGCGCGACCCAAGGACCCGCAGCCCGGTCGCCACTGGCTCTGACCGGGCCGACTCCGCCTTCGACCTCTCCGCCGACGCGGCCGCCGCCCGGCCCGAGCCCCGGGACTCGGCGGACGCCGTCGAGATGGACCGCTCCAACGAGTGCCTCGCGCCCGCGTCGGCCAACACCACGCTCGACTCCGAGCTGCGGGACGAGCTGGACCGGTCCAACGAGTCCTACGCGGACGTGCTCGACGGCTCGTGGAGCGACGGCGACTCGGGCCGAGCTTGCGACGCCGGCACGCTCACTAGGAAGAGTAAGAACAGGCTGGAGTGGAACGACATCAAGGTGACGGAGCGACCCTTGCAGCCGGAAGACGCGTCGAAAAGGAGCACGGACACGTGGAACGACAACACTTGCCCCGACGACGTCACTTTCCCCACCATCAGTGGCTCCGTCCACATGGTTTCCTCAATAAGAAGCGAAGTCGCCGACCCCGGCATGGCCCTGCCTGACCTGTTGGAAAAGAGCGACACTATCAATATGAGTTCTTCTCGTCCGGACCTGACCAACAAGTTGGACGAGGAACACACGGAAGCATCCATGAATCTGCCTTTAAGCGACCTCAAAATCGACACTGACAAATTACTTGAAAATATACCAGAGCCGAATTTTATTTCCCTCGTCGACGATGGGGAGCAAAAGCTCGATTCCCTGTTGTCATCGGCCATCGAAAGAGAAGCTGCGAGACTCGCCGCTCAGCTAAAGAGATCTCCATATGTCATGGAAACCAGCGTTACGTCACTCGCTTCCTTGGATCTTGACAATGTGAAACCACCGTCCAACTTGGGTAGCTTGTTGTCTCTCAGTGCCTCTGGTCATTGGGACGAAACATCTGCACAAACCTCCAAGAAATCTCAGAAAAGTAGAAAGAAGTCGCTTCCCGTTGCATTGATGGTTAAACGAGCGCTGAGCAACTCCATGCACCAGGGATCTTCGGAACATTTAGACAGCAATCCTGTTAGTTTCCTTGATAATGTAAAACCGCCCTCCGAAATGGAACATATTGATATGGAAAGCAGCATGATATCAGTTTCCAGTATAGTCTCCGAAGTGGCTGAATTCAGAGAAAAAACTCCAGTAGTGTTTGATTTAAAACAGCCAATACAGGACTTCCCTCTTTGCAATGCATTTAATGCAGTCTTCCAAGACTTAGATAAAGTAAATCCTCCGTCTTTGTTCGATGAGATGGCTGAATCCACGGTAGAGATAGAGCAAACCACTGTCAATCAAGTATATGACGACTGCATGTCAACGTTAAACGTCGTCACCGATATTCCTTCAGGATCCGAAAATTGCACACCGCTTCCATCAGACGTCAGTAGTGTCGAGTCTACTCCGAAAAGGCAAAGATCAAATTATCTGACTCCAAAAGAAAAGAGACATATCTCCAAAGACCGGTATCATACTTACACGATAACTGACAGTGTAACAGAGAACGACAACCTTGTACTGGAAGTGGAATCTGAAGAGTTTTTAACGTGGACGAAATCAGAGAGCGACAAATCTGATGACTATGTAACTGCAACATCTGAAGTGAAATCTAGGCGGAAAGTTAGCGCCAAGCAAAGAAGACAAGAAGATAGGGCCAGATACCAAACACAAACTGTGGATATTAACAATATATTGACACAAGAGACTTCACAAACCAAAGTTGTGGATCCTCAGATAGAGAACTTGAAACAACGTCTAGCGGCAAAGAAAACGATGAAACAAAAACGCATGGAAGATGCCGAAAGATTCAGAACTAGAACTTTCAGCGTAGACATTCCCCCTTCTCCAACGTTCGTCACTAAGGATGCCAACTTCGAAAATGTTGAGACCACCACTGGATACGATAGTCTGTCCTCCACTGAGTTGAATCACCAGCAACTGCTGGATGACAGGCACAGAGATGATGACGTGTGTTCTAGAGACGCAGATAGTGGTCACAATGATGATGACTTCGAACTTAATTCGGCTCAAATGCAAACATACACTAAAAGCTTCAGGAATTACCTACCAGTTATCGAAAGTCCCACTGCAGTAGACCTCTGCGTAATGAATAACCTTAAGAACATAGAAATGACGGCTTCTTATCGTAATAATGTGCAAAGCGACAAAAACAACCCGAGCAGCAGCGACTTTGCGAGCTACGAGGGTGATAGCAACTCAGAAGATAAAGTACAATCCGAATCTGACACGGAATCTCCCCAATCTAGACCCAAACCTAAAATCATCAAACCTGAAACCAGAAGAGACTTGAGTTTAGACTCAAACGAGTCCGTCGAAAAGGATGAAGCACCTAAAGCGGTCAGAGGACGAAAAAAGACCATGTACGTCTCTCCATATAGGAGAAACCCACCAGCTCGTAAACCAGCAGCAACAACCTCCAAACCGGCGCCAAAAATAACTCCACCTATAAAAGTAGTGGCGAATCCTGCCAAAGCTCATACTAGTGCCAAAACGCCAAGCAAACCGTCGACTTCCAAACCACCAAGCGCCAATACATCCCCGAAAAAATCGTTGCCAAATCGGTCTCCCACAAAAATAAGCCAGCAAAAAGCGATAGCAATACCTCTCGTTGCTACTAAACCGTTACCACTGGAGAGACAAGGAACTTTCACAAAAGAAAGTACGGTTCCGCCGAAAGATTTACCAATGCCTGATAAAAAGTCCAGTGTTCCTCGAGTAGGCAAAGCGAGCACGCCTACTAAACCTGGTGTAACTACATCGCCCTCTCGTTTACCGCAGCTGAACCGATATTCAAGAGCAACATTAACGAAATCTAACAGTAATCCTAAACAAAACAAATTTGCAGCTACTAAAAGATCTTCTGAGCCTTCGATAAAAAGTTCAACTTCAAACCATAGCTTACAGAGCAATGATAGTGGTAAAACTGTAACTCTAACTCGAGGATCCAGACAAGGTAGCACATCGAGCGTGAATTCCCAGTCTTCCAAGGCAAATACAAAAGATGTTGAGAGCAGAATAGCTAGTTTGTGGAAAAAAGTGGAACAGAGCAAAACCCAGCCCAAAAAACCTGATAAGAGAGTGTGGATAGACAGCGACAAGACTGAACCACCCAAACTGATCAGAAGCTCAACTTTCGAAGGTCAACCGAAGCAAAGCCCAGTGTCGACAACTCCAAAGCAAAAGTCTGCTATTGGCATAAGAGTTTCTCAAATACCTAGTTTTAGACCAAAATCCACACCAGCAAAAGTCGGTCAAGGAAGTCCGAGTAAAAAACCAGCTACCTCTAGAGTATTCACAAGGAAATCCGTTAATGGACAAGTCACTTCTCAATGAGACCATGATTTTGACGATTGGAATGACTGCAGACTTTGACGACTGTTTCACGTATTGAAGAATGTACAAGACATACCTTTTGTGCGTTGTAGTTGCAATGACGTCATTGAATTCTCAGCGAAATGAAGTTGATTTAGGCCAATGTTCTATTAGAACTGCGCAGGGACTTTGCGTTAAAATTTAAGAGTAAAAACATAATAAAAAATGTGTTTGTATTGTGTATATCAGTAATGAACTCCTGAATTTACAGGACGTAACAGAATAACGTAACAAATATTTCAGGCTATGACGATATTTTAGGTGTTTCATAACAATTTTAGATCAAAATTACATGTTGGTTCCCAAAAAAATTATTGATATGCTATTTATTTGTCTTGTGACAGATTTGTATATGAAGATGTTTGAATAAAACAATAATTTTTTTCCAGTCTCATCAACATATTGTTGCACTATTTTGTTACATCCTGCAAAAATCAAAGATCTAAAAAAAATCTATATTTATTCTGCGTAATATTTATTTTAATGAACACGTACGTACATTATTTATTCATATTTTGTCATATTCACATAGAATTATGTATTAAAGCATAGAAAATGAACGATTTTTTTTTTCTGTATTCGTGTTAGTGTTAACTCTTTGATTGTGAATTTATGAAAGTTAAATTATTTGTTCGTATGTATTTATTTTACGTTCTTTTTGTATATTTGTTGCATTTATTCTGAGAGTGTTTTGGAGCTCCTCATTGACTAATAGTTTTGTAAGACGAAAGATATAGTCGTCACAAAGAAACTGGCAAAAATACATTTAAGACGAGTAATTGAGAATCAAAATGACTGTAATGCTAATAATATATCCAATATTGAAGTGAATTTAGGATCCTGTCTTTCGTGACCTTAAGGATCAGTTTACAGTGGCATTTTAATGACCATAAAAAGTCAATTGCGGTAAAAATTACAGAATTTTTACTCTCATTCCCGATCACATTTTTATGTATGTACTATTATCCATAATAATTATGCTTACGATATGTCGGTTCAATTTCAAACACGAGCTGCTTTTTATATTTTTCCATTCATAAGCCATACTACTTTTTTATTGTGTGTATTTTTCGCAGAGGAACATGTAGTCTCCTCTTAAAAATTACTAGACATAATAAGTGATATGGTTCCATGTAAATAAATACCCATTTATAATTGTAATTTTAAGGTTAACCCTAACTCAATTTGTATATTTTTTCACCATTATTATTATAAAAATAATTATTGCGTCGCTTCAGGTAAAAAATGTGGGCATAGTGTTTATGTCTTCAATTTTTCATGTCTAGTCAGTTTTAAAGTAATAGCTAAGCGAAAATTGTAATATTTTTGGCTGAGGGATCGCAATTTCAATAAAATTTAAGAGAATTCCCTTCGTATAATGTATTCGTGTTTGCTATTTGTCACTTTATGTACTCGAAATGTGAAGTTTCGAGAAATTTTTTGAGATGCCAATTAATGATTGTGCGTTCTCGAAATGCAATTGGGATTATACTAAATTGAACAACCGAAAGTATGTTTAGAAAAATTGAGAAGTTGTGTGCTGAAGAGTTATTCATTGTCGTTTAAGCTTTCACTGTCAGAGTCTCTGTTTAGAACAACATCCGAAACAAATTTGCCTAAAGTTTTAGTAAGAAAAATTTTAAATCAGTGAAAAATAGACAATTTATCTTTATAGTAAATCAATTATTCATATTAGTTTATTGGATCATGTTACATATACCATAGTAGTACCGTTTTATTTACGAAATATCAACTAGGTTCTTTTGAAAGAACCATAGTACCTTCGATGGGTGAGGTGTAAGAAAGCAGAGGTTTCATGGTTCTTCCAAAGATTCTGCAACTTATTTTTATCGTAGGCATATCTCATAGATAATTTAATAGTAGATACTTATCTATATAAGCCATCTTTGTCTTGTAAGCCAGTTTTAATTATATAAGTAGTGTAAGGTTATTTGGTGGTAATAAAATAAACTTACCGGATTTTCTTGTTTTATTTAAATGTAGAATATAATCCTTCCGTCGCACAAGTCTAGTCTAGTCTTTCAATATAAAATCAAAACGTCGTAACTTGCAATAATAGGTTTTCAACAACAACTGGGCAAAGTTTAAATTACATTGCCAGTCCAGAATTTGTTGTCTTTTTAAATTAGAAACTATGACCAATAATTATCAAGATTTCATAGTGAACATTTGATAGTGTGACTTTTTAAGAAACAAATTGTTGTGCGCATACATTTTTGCAGAAAAATTCAGAGTGTCGAAGCTACCCAGCTACGTCATTGAAACAGTTCCTGATACGTCAACAAATGATAAGCCTATACAATGACATCTTCAAGGCTTTCGGACAAGTCAAAGATTACATACAGGCTACAAACTTACGATTACTAGCAGGGATAGAGGTGTTAGAAATAAAACCACTACATCGAACTAGTCAGATTGTTTATTTTACGAATATGGTCGATACAATTCCGTTCCGACTGAGTGGCATCCTACATAAAGAAACAACATCCATTTGCATCAACTATCTTTGTGAATCACTAAATCTATGTCCCTTATAATTATCCTTTCATATAACATACAAAATAGATTAGGTATATGCGCATGTTACAATTTAATATTAATAAAAATCTATAATTACTGTTTATCCATGGAGGCATGCAGAGGTAGATCGGTTTGTGGAGTACTGGGTAGAACAATATGTAAGTACGTTATTTAAATTATTGAATACATCTATTTATATTTTCACTACTTGCACGAATACATCGAAGGGGAAGGGCACATGTAAAAACTAGGGATCATTTACACGTTAAAGTTGGCATATATTTTATTATCTAGTACACATATACTGCTATTTATAACATCTTATAAGTTATTATATATTTATTTTGTTTTATATTTTCCACCCAGAACTCCGTGGTCGCATCTTACAAACAACGAGCCTATATTTAATCATAGTAAGTAAACAAAACAAAATCCCGAATAGTAAACGAAAAAAGATTAAAAACAGCGATTCTATGTACAATTGGCGCACTAAATGTGGTCTAAAAACATTGACAAATAATGGAAGCAATAAGCAGATTCATCCTTTCAGACGCTTTCTAACAAAGTTTAGGCCGCCTTCCTGTACAGGATTTCGACTGCGTTCGATATGCTCTACATATCAGAAAATACACTCTTCAAACAATTATTTGTACTATCCCTTGTACTATAGTGTACAATGCCTTAGTCTATATATAAAATAGAATTCTTGCAAATCGAAATCCTGCAGACAAATCCTCGTGTCGATTAAAATTGATTTGTGCCACAATATGTGTGGAGTCAAGGGCATAAACATTATGTACAACTAAAAAACTTAATGGTTCCGTCATTTGAAAGTAAAATGCTACTTATTATTATGCGAATTCTGAAGCGATAATAACATTTTTGTATGAAAAGAAATTGCTTATGTACTTATTACGACCGGGTTTACACGTATATATATTTTCTTAATATCTAGTTTCCACCGATTAGACAGGAATAATATTAACTATTGATAATAAATGAATCCCCACAGACCATCAGAATTTAAAATCATTATTCATTAGTAATGAATACGTATATTTAGAGATATGCTCTTGTTATGAATAGGAATTTTATCAACACACCGCCAATGTGTAACTAAAAAAGGGGTGAATAGAAATTAAGCGGTCATGTTCATTATACAAAATATTGTAACTCTACCGACCAGTTTCTTAGTGGTCGTCCTTGGATGGATTTTTTTGGTGTCTAGTCATATTTCCTTTCACATATGAATATTTAGCAATGCAATACATTTTCCCTGTGTTATGCAAACGCAAACATTACTATACAGGGTATCTATGTTTTCCAGAAACCACAATTTGGGCCATTCAAAGCCAGAGTAAATAGGATTTTTTAGACAAACGTTATCGTGTTTATTTTACATTTAAACAACGCAACTATGGCCCTAAACTTCTAGCAACATTATTGGTTTATAAGTTTGATTTATTTATTTAATGTAAAGGAAGAGGCAAACGAGCAGACTTGAGAGATGGTCATTGTCGTTCAAGGAAAATTTGATGAAAAATGACTTAATTAGCCGAACAAGCCTCTAAAGAAATATCAACATCCTGCAGCTTATCTTGAAGAAATACTGAAGGTCCTAGGGGGTCCATGAACTGTCGGACATTTAACATTCACTAATTTCGTTCTATGTACAAATATAATATGCAATAAACGACCGAAGTCAGCTAAAATTACCTACGAGGGTTGAGAAATGTACGCCATTTTGTATTTTATTTGTAATTAGTCGAAATGCGATCAGTCATTTTTGTTACGCCCTGTATGTTTTTCAATTATCCAAGGCGTTTTATTTTCTTTTTTTTTTTATAGATAAAAAGCTGGAATATATGTTCTCGAGATTTTCCAGTCCTAAAAATTACCGGAACTGAGACTATAGAAGCCTATACTCTGCTACAACGGAACGGAGAACATATAATTTTGTATCCCAGAAATGTAGTCAAAATCCAAAGTCGTGGAAGATTTACACTAACTACAGTGTGGCCAGTACCCAAACACTGGTGCAACCTGCGATCTGTCGTTGCATCCACCTTGGGAAGATAGTAATGTGTATTCAATAACCGTATCTGGCTTACTTCGAAGGACAACTTTCTCAGTAAGCAGCAGTTTGGTTTTAACTGTGGCCGGTCTATATGGATCTTCTTATGTATGCCACGAACTTATGGAATGAAACTATAATATTGAAAAGCATGGCGATGCTCTCTTTGCTCTTGTTTCTTTTTACTCGTTTCACTTTAAAAAAATAACCCAATACACAGTCATGGTTGAATTGTAGGTTGGTAAAATAGAAGACAAATAAAACGTATATTAATAAACTGCTCAAGGTGGACGTCTACAAGGTTAGGTAAGTACTTTTAGCTGACAGCACCAGAATAAGAATTATACATTAATATTAAGGGACACCAAGAACATTAATGTGAAATGCAACCTAATAGGAACCCGGTCAGGGCCTTAAATTTTAAGAAACAGATTTATTTTCAACTATTTTTACACTTGTCGGGTATTGGGGTAGTATTATGCGGACGCGAGGGAGCGTACCCCATTCAAAGAGGTCAGGATTGCAGTATCTCTCTTTACTCCTTTTAGGCACGTTTATTCATCCACCCTAAACCTTTTCATTAAAGCAACTATTTCGTATACGTTTATGTATGACATTCAGACGTGCTAGTGCTTTTCAACAATTGGAATGATTCCTTTTATTTAGGTTCTTATGCGTGTCTTTATTCACTTGTTTTCAAGCGAGAGTGCTCGTAGCTTATTGAGCCAACGAAACATCGGCCCTCGCTTTGCGAAGTAGAAAATATGATGTAATTTTGCTTTTATGCACCAAGGTCAAGGTAGCAACATGTCGTTTGGGGTGCATAAATTGACTTTTGAATGAAATCCTGTCTTTGGAAGTCGTGAACAGTAAAATTCAGTTTGACGATTTCTCATATTTTTTTATATAACGCCGTGTAACACGACTTTTGTGTCCGAGTTATTAATATTATTTTCTAAATGGTTTTAACTTAACAAAAACATGAAAAAACTATTTCCCTGCAAAAACTTTGCTTTTGTGGTTTGAAGAAGGAAAAATTGAAATTTGCGTACCATAATGAAAACGTAATTATCTCAGTAAAGATTACTAAAAAAACCGACCTCAAAAGTTCGAGGAATTACATCTATTCGCCAAGTTTAAATGGGATTACTACTGAGGTACCTTTTTCCAACAAAAAAGGAATTGTCAAAATCCGTTCACAAATCGAGTTATCGCGAAACAAATGTACAAAAAAACATGGGGTTGAATTGAGAACCTCCTCGTTTTTATGAAGTCGATTAAAAATGTTCGGGTTTCTAAAAAACGGGAACAATATATTTTAAATCAACAGTTTAACCAAATTAATTTTAACCAAAAATCTACAAATTGATTACAATGAACCTAGAAATGTGTAGATTTGCGAGATTATGTGCATACCAGTATGTAGCCAAGTAAATATCATCACAAAAGCAAAATTTCAGAGATATAGGCTACTCTTTTCTACATATTTGCATCTCAATCAAACAGAAACCAATTCTGTCGAACCAGAAAAAGAACCTTTATGAAAATTTGTGACATAGTTAAAAGTAGCACTAACCGTGAAGTTATACGTCTCTATTCCCCCGTAATACAAGTTATTGGCTTAAACAAAAGCATTTTCATGCCATTTCCCTGCGTCCGCGTTGCAACCGTATGATTGGTTAGATGCCGTAAACGTTTACTAGTCGAGTTATCAAATAACACTTTCGTAAAATAGAACCACAATACCCTGTGCTCGATTTTAACCTAACACCTAAAAGCTAGGGACAAATACGGTCGCAAAGGGTGCACCCATGGAAATTTCCGTCTAATGGCGGGCTGTACCATTTTCGTTTCTTTCCAAGTACCCCACACACATTTCAGTAAAATACAATTACGGCTTATAGGATAGAAAATGCGAAATATGTAACACAACCCTGTATAGAAACTTGAAAGCTCATTTTAGTCTAAACAGCAAAAGTTTAGTAAACAAATCGACTGATCCGCAGAATAAAGATCTATGTGCAAGACTACTTGTTCTCAAGACACACTATTTCGACTTTCGATTTTATATTTCCGAAACGAAATAAGATATATAAATTCAAAACACATAGGCTTTGGGTTGAATAACGAAATTATTCTCGTAACTTATCCTCTTTTCGTTATGCAATCACATCGGACTCTGTTCTTCGGATGAGTCGAAATAAACGAAAGTCCTTCTAAACTTGTCAAACGCATATAAATCGGTTGAAAACATCCAAATGTTCCCTTTGCGACGAAAAATTACATCGAAATGGTATATTTCTCAATGACCATGAATACAGAAGATTGAGTAAGTACTATTTATATTGATTAATGAAAGCCTCTGCAGAGGTACAACACCTAATTAAAACTGTAAGCTTGCGTGCAATGCACGAGCTAGCTTCAACAGCTAGCACTGTAAGACGGTTGCTTCGCGCGAATGCCCCCGATCGCCGGGCACGGATGAGTAAATTATCCAAAATACGCGTAACATAGACAACATTCAGGCCACCAGATGCATTCGCGCGATGACAGACCGTCTACCAATGGTTTAAGCTACATTCTTACTGTTCAAACGACACGGTTTGTATGTTATATTCGTTTGGATAGTGAGAACGCAAATTACATAAATTTGTAATTTGAAAGCATGTCGTCCGTGGACGGGCACATGCTGGGAGCTACTGCTCTTTGTTACCAATACTAGTTACCGAGTAAAGAAACTAGTAATTCCTGTGATCCTGTGGTTACCGCGGTTGTGTTAGTAGCAAAGTTCAGCAGTGCCCTGCGTTATATTCCAATCAACTGACCGAGTGATTTTAATAATCCTCAACTGCCTGTTTACCCTTCAAGGTGAATGAGGCGCCAATCTCGCAATTACTTTTTGAATGTTAGTCCAATTTGTGTCAAAGCCGATAGCTACATCTTGTTCTGTTTAATTTTCTGTTTAACGCACATCTGACTTTTTCCGCATATATCCCTGACTTTTATAAGCCAATTTTCAAGTTCAAAGAACTTATAATACCTAACAGTCTTTGGATACATTTATCACTAAGACTCCTCTCCACAACTTGTAAATAATTCGCTCCAAAATATATTTCGGAGATAATTCTTTTTTTACTCTTTTTTTTTCTCTTTTTAATTTTTCATCAATTATCTTAAGTGGCAGACGAGTTCTGCTTCATTAAGTAAACTTTGTCAATTTTTTGTTCAAATCTCTTTTTTTTTTGAGGCGCATATGGAGACTGCGTTACTGAAAATGGGATTATCGAATGTCTAATTTCAACATTTTCCGGTTTGTATCGATAATTCCATATGCGCTCTGTCGATCGCATCTGCGTGGGTGCTCTGCGGGACCGGGCCCGCGTAGACCGTAAAGTTCAAAATCCGCAAGTACACTCGCGTGTGGATGCGTATCCAGCCTGGATCGTGTGGTATCCGAAAGTCGTTATCATCGTAAATAACATTTGTACTCATACGTTACACTCCCTACCCTTACACTAAATATACATAAAAATATCACAGCACGATCGATTCACTTACACTAGGGCCGCGGCGCTTGGCTCCGCGGCGGCAAAAACAATAAACGAATCGAAATTGAAATGCATATAACACCACCGCTGCCTGCGTGTGACCTTCAATGTTTCGGTTTAACATTATTATGTCGTTACAATCGTTATGAAATATTGAATGATTATAAAGTTACGACAGATACGTTTGCTATTAAGTTGTTATAAGTGATTGTCTGAAACTGCTATGCCGACCGCGACGTGCCCTTGACTTACGTGTCCTTATCTAAGGTACAAATAACCCTGCTTTTGGAATGATAGAGCTCGTAGTAACCTCTAAGACGGGCTGCGGCCGACATGCGGCAGCGGCGGACAAGACGAAGCGAACTTAATGCAGTTAAGAGTGCGGCAAATTATCAAATATTTACAAAGCTATTGTTCGAACGTCTTACCCTAAAACTTTGGAACAATTAAAACAAAATTATAAGACAAGTTAAAACACAGAGCGGAGTTTCGCTACCCGTGGCCTCCTCGATAAGCTCTCGTCGTAGTGTCGACCTGCACTCGCATTGAACCTTGCCCGCTGTCTACTTCCCTGGCAATAGGAACTTCGACCGAGTGGTCACCTTCGGGCGGTGCCAGCGCACCCCACTCTCGGTAGCCAAGTAAATCGTACGTATGATCCAATGGCACAAACACATTACACTATCACTACATATGTTGCGTGACAAGAAATAACATCCAGGTATTTATAAATGTAAGCGACGAACTAAGAAACTTAAACAACTAAAATGAGGTAGCATTATTATGAATATGAATTAAAACATTATTTACCTAATGTTTGGTGGGATATATGTTAAAATGTATACGTATATATATGTATGTGTGTATGTATATATATGTAATATATGTATGTATATCAACAATAGTTCCTATGGATAACTTGAGGTATATCATAGTTTCTAGCTTGAGGTAGCTCTGTGGACCGGCCAAATGGGCTCAAAACATATACTATAAGATAAAGCAACATTCTTAAAAATCATTTGGCCATAACTTTACGTAGATATACAAAATACTATTTATCTATCCCACTCGGGGAATCAACGTGTGTTAACCTGTTTCGAATTCATCTTCACGGTTGGGTCATCAGCGGAAGCCGCGGCGGCCGCCTTACTAAAACACATAGAACTTGGTGATGACGGGGGGCTCCCACTTGGGGCTGGGGTCGATCGCGTCCACGATGTTCTGGTCGTAGTCGTAGGGGAATGGGGCGAGGTGGGGTTCGTACTTGGAGGGACAGGCGTTGATGGTGAGCAGCGGGTCGATGTGCGGCAGCAGAGGTTCATCCAGCGGGATCACGGACCCGTCCAGCGCCCAGCCACACGACACGAAGTCCGGCCCGTACTCGCGCGGGATGTCCGGCTGCGGCTCCTCTTGCAGCTGGGGCATTTCTACAACGGACACCTTGCGTCATTCTTATCGTATTAGGGTCGCTTCAAATTGCCATTGACGAGACGCAAAAAAAAAAAAATCGCCTCCAGTGCAACGGAACAAGATGTGTCAATGTGAAACTTGATGTGCTGTTGACTGTACATAGAAAAAAAACCATCGAATTGAGAACCCTCCTTTTTAAAATCGGTTAAAAATGAAAAAAAATCTGCACCAAGCGGCGTCAGGCAACGTCTATCTGCACAGGGGGCACTTTATAAAATGCAATAATAATATAAAACTTATATTCTATACCTAATAAAGTGTACAACTCTTTAAATCAAAATGACAAAAGTGTAAAGAGCGTGACGCGGCGCATTCTGTCGTCGCAATGCAAAATGTAACTTTGTAATAGGTTAAAAGGCAGGCAGCTGCTGAGATGTGTCCTTGTAAAAGATAAAGTTTAAGTTGTGTTACTCGTTTTAGTGCATTGCAACGTCGCGCCGCCTGGCTGTAGCAATTTGAGGCGACTAAAAACATGACCCTTTCCCTCACGTTATCACCAAAACGGTGATAAGAGAGTTGATATAAAACAAGCATTGAGTATATAACCGGAAATAGAGACGTAATAAGGACCATCCATCCCTGGCAACTCATGAGGCAAATGGGCCTTATATCACTTTTAAATATCATCTCTCGTTTGCGCTGCAATCACAAATTAGAAAGCTGAAATAGTGCAGCGCCAACGACTGACCTGTACGTACGTCTCCGTATATTTCAAAAATATTCTGTCTTTATTGTAATAAAGATAATATCTCTAACTATGGGGGCTGTTCCGTTCAGTGGTGTGGGAATATCAGCAAAACATCTAATTACAAAACAAACGCAATCACATTTCAACGGTAATTAAATATTAAATATGTAATTTTTCAATTTTCGTCCATCATAGCAAAGCTCAAGTTAAACTGGACGTTATTAAACAAAAAGGATCCAATGCACATCCAGTCACTTTCGAGATAAAATATGGCAGTTTAAAGTTCAAAAGTGTTTCTCACTCTTGTTATATTTTCGAAACTGATAATGTCATGTAACATGTAATCCAGAGATATTTATTTACATGTTGGTTTTTTTTGCTGATCTAAGAGTTTAGACTTTATGAACCATTTGGTACATATAACTCATATTTGATAATTTTGTGGATTGGATCCGTTTTGCTTAACTACGTCCAACTGATGAAAAAATAGACGACACCCGTCAATTGTTTCGAATTCGGCCTGGCCAATCGGAGCAAAGTTGTCACCGTAATGATTTGACATTTCGTCTCTATTGCTGGTTATACATTCAATAGAAACAAGAAACACCAAACCGCACTACATTACATGAAAATTGAGGGGGGATGAAAATAAATTAAAAACACATTGGGTTCGCATAGAAAAAGCGTGTACCTTAGAGAAGACGCAGCTTGACTTACCGGGAACGAACGCGGCAATTTCATCCGGTAGCACAGCATTGACCAACTCCTCAAGGTCATAATCAGCGCCCACGGGAACCATGTCCGCATCGAAATGAGGTATCATCTCAATGAGATGGGAATTACTACTGCTGGTACCGAGTGTGCTCTCGTCACTTTCGCCAGGCGTGTTGACTATCGTGTCTGGAGTGGCTGCTATTGAATAGACTTCGTTCTTCGGAGAAACTTGGTTGGTAGCATCATCGGGAAGATTCGGATTCTGGCGGGACACTGTTTTGGGGTCGAGACGGTGAATTTTACGCAAGTGCTTATGCCAGTTGGGGTGCGATGCAAAGGTCTTAGAGCAGACGGGGCATGAGTACGGTTTTGCGCCCGAGTGGACGTTGAGATGTTGGCGTAGATGATGGGAGCGCATGAAACCTTTGCCGCAAACGCTGCACGTGAACTCCTTAGCGGCGGCGTGAGTCTTCATGTGAGTCATGAGGCGGTTTTTAGCGGTGTACACCTTGCCACACACGTTGCATACGTGGAGAACCGTTTCAAAGTGGGCGGGGATATGTTTCATCAGAAGATAACGCTCGCTGTACTGTCGCGAGCATACCGGGCAGCTGAAGCACTTTTTCTTGTGTATATCCAGGTGCTTCTCGCATGATGCTAGTGTAGGGAACTGGAGCCCGCACTGCCGACACCAATGGTCTAGGGTCGATTCGTGGTATTTTCGGTGAATGAGCAGGTCCTTTGGCGATTCCAATCTGTGAAACATAATAATAGTTTATATTTTTAAAAGGGTATAACACTTAATCTATGTAAGCACAAATGAGATTATGTATGAACAAAGATAATATAAGGGAGTCGTACGGAAGGATTAACCAGCTCAGCTATGATTAAACTGATTATAATTATGTAAAGTTTTTTGGAAGTTGAAGTTGAGTCCATTTATGCTAAAGGGCATGTATAGCTAGTATACACTGTCTACAACTCTTTACCGCTAAAATTGATTAAATAATGAAGTAATTTAATTTGTGCGAGTGGTGATAAACATAAATATACATAAATATGCTGTCAATACCATAAATTTCTTTTTGACTTCACTAAAACCGGTCAAAGAGTACACTTATTATACACAGACTAATTCACTGGTGGAATGTTTAGCTGGAACATAAATTAAACTTACTTTAGTCCACAACCAGGTTGTGGGCAGACAAGGTCTGTGGTACGATGATTGTCGCGCAGATGGTCACGCATACGCCGCTCGCTGCAGAATCTGCGGCTACACTGCGGGCAAGGGAATTGCGCCTCGTCGGCGCCTCCGTCCTGCGCATTGCGGTGGGCCTCCATGTGGCTTACCAGCAGAGATAGACGTGGAAAGCGTTTCCAGCACATGTCGCATCTATAACACAAGTTGCCTTTGACCTAATTTATACTCAACAACCACAAAAAACTATTTAAAACAGTTTAGTACCAAAAGAGAGCCTCTCAGGCAGGTTTTAGTTACAAATACATGTGATTATTTTATAGCCACATTAATCCACATCAAATAACACAGAATGTACGAACCAGAGCTGCTTTCAGCAATATGGGCTACTAAAAGTTTTGAGTTCTAGACCAAATTTTTACAAACTGCCTCTGTGGCCGAACAGTTACAAGGACTGCCACGCAGAGGTCCCAGGTTCGATTCCCGAGCCGAGAAAAATATTTGTATTGTGTGTGTTCATGGCACCCGCGACACAGGGTTTCCCTAGCGCAGGGCTAGGTTGAGCGTGTGCATTAATGTTATTATTATTATTAAAATTTTTACAAAAACAAATAAGCAAGCACATAGAAAAATTCGTTGGGTCCGTTGGTTCGTTCCGTGGCTTAGTTGGTATAGCGTCTGGCACGGTATGCAAGAAGACGTCGGTTCGAATCCGACCGGATCGAAGGAATTTTTTCTGAGTGTTCGATCTTTGTATTAATGATAACAAAAAACAAATAAGTCATCCTATGAACAAAATAAGCTTAAGAACACAATACAATAAATGTGATTTGTAAAACCATTAAGTGACATGGACAAAAACAAAATACATGCAAATTCGCCAAAACAACAACAACACCAACACCAATAACCATCACAACTGTAAAATGTAAGTATATTGTAACATCACAACTAAACAAGCCAACAGTCAAAATATGTTAGATATTCGCAAAGGCCCAATAATTACAAAGAATCCATACTCACTCGAACCTGTTCCTTGAAAAGTGGTAATGGCAGTGGTTACCAAAACACTTGTACTTGTCAAACTTTTTGTTACAAATGTTGCAGGTGTAATATAGATCATTCCCCTCATGAGCAGCAGCAAAGTGAGTATCAAAATCCTCACGGTTCTTGAAAAGATTGTTGCAATAGCAGCACAAAATACCCCCAATTACATTTATAGAACTATCATCGGGCAAAGTAGAGTCTGGTATGTTATCAGAGTCTTCTTTAAGTACATCACCGAAATGTTTTGCTAAATGCTTCATAGCTTCTTCTTTCGACAAAGTGACATTGCAGATAGGGCATGTGTAAATGATTGTGTAGTGCTTATCGATATGAAGTTCACATGAGTCTATGGTATCAATTTCCTTAGTGCAGTTTTGGCACTGATATGGAGGGCTGTTTCCTTCACTTTTGTGGAACACTTTATGCAGGTGTAGTTCCTTTTTTGAAGAAAATCTGTGAAGGATATTATTGTTGTAGAAAATCAAATGTCATGTTTAACCGTATCTTGGACAGTAATAGCATTTAACGTAAAAGTATATAAATTAATATGATAGTATGGTCGGCTTATTCCCAGTTGGGACCACTGGCTTTATGTCCACTGGCGACAAATGGGAAAAAAATACCATATGTTACCAGGTACAAATGTGATAAAAAGTTTTATTGTTAAAGGCCGTAGCTTTATATGTGATTTCCAAGTGATTTCTGTGCAGTTGCCGCCTGTTTCTCCGTAGAGAATTATCAACAAAGTATTAAAAAAATTCAGTTATTAACATTGAACATTTTATATTGAATCAATATAAGCACAAAGAAAAATAGTATGATGCATGGAACTTTTGGGTTACAATTGTTCTATGTGGAACTGAGCACATGGAACTACTGGAAATAAACTACATTTTTGTGTACATTACTATTTAAATACAGTTCATGAACAGGTTAATAACAATTAAAAGAGTTCTTAGCTTGGTGCGATTCCTACTTATTGGAACTGAACTATTTTTCCAGATTTGAACTATTTTTGTTTAAACAAAGTTTTGGAGTGATAAATACATGGATTTTAGATTTGAAAATATAATTCCACTTCCAAGGAATTTAAGATCTATGTCATGTAAAGAGTTCAATGTTGTACAGAGTACCCTTTTGGTTTAAGAGTGCTAAAGCACTGTATTCCCAAGTGATATACATGACACAACAAAGAAAAGTGTCTTACACAGAAGAACCCATAAAGATGGACATTACAAAATGGATATTGACATCTATCTGAGCATAACAGGCCTTATTAAAAATTTGATTAAAAAAAAGCAATAAATTGTGAATTTAAACTTACTGTTGGTCACAAAATGGTTTACTGCATTTGAATGTGTGAACAGCATTATTGTGCTCCACAAGTGCAGCCAGTTTTGATACTGTCTTACTACAGATGTTACATCTAAAAAAACACAAACCAAATATTACATGAAGACAATATAAGAAGTATTGTATATGAAAATGGGACCATTATAAAAGTACTTACTTAAATTTGTTTTTTATGATGTGGTGAGTGTAGCAATGTCCGCGGAAACTTGGATAGCCAACAATCTCTTTGCGACACGCAACACATGTGTATATAATGTCTGAGCTCCCTGTACTATGCAGTGCATAATGATTGTCGTATTCCTTCTTCTTTCCAAATGTTAATTTACAGATGTGACAGAATATGCCTCCAACTAAATCAATGGTAGTGAGTTTGAGGCTTTTATGTAGGCCGGGCGCGGTGCCGGCGGCGGGAGAAGCCATGGTCGCCTGAGAGCCCTAAGTATGATCCATCTATTACCAATATTTATTTCATGTCAAATGAATTCCTGTAGCGCTGCTATTGCAAACATCCTAACGGTATTCTAACTTCTTCAGCTACATGTTTCCGGCTATATGTATTATCTGAAAGTACCACAAGTACCTGTTAGTAGATGTAGTGCCGACAGGCCACGCCGCTCTCAAATGACTAGAACACAGCACCATATTAGACTAACGCAATAAGCAAACAAGGACCATAACGAGTTTGCATATTTACTAATGCTATCGGTGAGCATTTACGAAAAGCGTCCCTGTCATCGATATAGTCGTGGGTAGATCGGCCATAACCAAAACCTATTTTATGTCTACAAATACTTACAAAATCAATGAAAAACTTATGCGCGAGCATTGAAAAACGATTTCACGTTACTTTCTACATCACAATAGCCGAAATAAAAGGTAAACTTTAATAAAAATGTAGTGCCGGATGAAAAACAACGCCAAGAAAACGCGTGGAATTTGAGTTTGACAGTTCCCGAAAAAAAGTAAAAAAAAAAATCAATAAATGCATTCGAATACACGTAATACTTGCTAAAGATTAAGCAGATTATGATTACTTCGCGCACGAAGAAAGAGAGAAGGAACGAAATCATGGAATATCTTTGTCTCTTTTATATGCGGCAATTTCCCTTACTCAAATCAACCGAAACGAATAGAAAAAAAAATTTTGCTACAAAATGTCAATGAAATTTTGTCAAAAAATATTGGTGTTTTTTGGCGAATTTTACGCATATTTCGCGTTCGCGTAAACATTTTTTATGAAAATTGCTATAAAATTTGATTATTGTTTTCTCTCTGATATCTTCGACAAGGTTGTATAAAATAGTCACAGTCATAACTTTTCGCGGCCGCTGCTCAAGAAGCTGAAATACATTTTATATATCCCATTATCAAGAAAAAGGTGAGCGTTTTTGCAATTACCTATACCTAATAAATTCAGGATCTAATATTACATTCGCTATATTAATTTGCGGAATTTGAGCGAAATCTTAATACGCATTATGGAGTAAATCTGAATAATTCGGCATTACTCTCATTTGATTCCAATACATTAATCGTATAATGACTACGGGTAACCACATCGTAAACTCCTACTCGTCGTAAGAGTGGGGCTATGTGTGTAATGTTTTGTGTTCAAACAAACTCTCGTTGGCAGCGCGCCAACACGCGGCCCGAATTAGATCGAGACTGTTATTCAGTTACGCTTACGTTACTCTAACGTCTGGAATCTCACATTCATCAGTAGTTCACGTATTCGCCATGGATCGCCATCATCCCTTACATTCAAGTTTCCACAGTTCCATGAGGAGTAGGGACTCCTCATCAACTGCAGGCAGCGACCCCCGGGAAAAGATCAAGGACTGTCTACGTAAATTCATAGCATTCATGTTTACACAAGTGGGTGTTGGAGCGTTAGTTGTTTGCTATGCCATACTTGGAGCTGCAGCCTTTATGCACATAGAGAAAGACAACCCTGACCAGCAGCTGGAGGACGTCAAAAGCTGGAGAAAAAACTGCGTTGACAACATGTGGTTTTATGCAGAAACTGTAAACACATTGAATGAAACTTATTTCAAAGTGAAAATAAACGAATATTTGATTGCGTACCAAAAAAATATTACAGAAGCGATACATGATGGTTACAGCGGTAAATCAGCAGAAGATATATGGTCATTTCCTGCTGCGCTTATGTACTCACTATCTGTGTTCACCATGATTGGTTATGGAAACATTGTGCCTAAAACTGTATGGGGTAAAATATTTACCATAGCGTATGCTTGCTTTGGGATACCAATATACATTCTATATTTCTGCAATATGGGTAAAGTTCTTGCCCAAACATTCAAATGGCTGTATATAACAACTCATGAATGTAGTAGACGGGAAGACCCGTTATTTGAAGACGGCGAGTCTCAAACTGTGAGAAAAAAGATCACAGTACCGTCAACAGCTTGTCTATGGGTTATATCTTTCTACATCCTGACTGGAACAATAATGTTTGGTGCTTGGGAGAAATGGAACTACTTAGACTCTACATACTTTTGCGTAATTAGTCTATGTAAGATTGGGTTCGGAGATTTTGTTCCTGGAGCTAATATATCAGATTCGGCTGGAGGGTCACATTTAAAGTTAGTTATCAATTTTATTTATGTGCTATTAGGTATGGGACTTGTTGCTATGTGCTATAATTTAATGTCTGAGGATGTCAGAGTGAAAGTGAGGGAGCTGAAGGAGGATTTAAAAAACTGCTTGGATGATATTACTTTGAAAATCACTGTGTGCATGAATGATACTAAATATTATCATCAGAAACAGCATAGACATAAATAAAGCTATAAGTTCGTATTAATGTTATTAATGAGTGTTATTGTAAATTGTGTGTAGGGATTTACATAAGTATTGAATACTTTATATTCTGAGTTCTTAGGTTTTCGCGATTGTTACACATAGGAAATGAAACTATTTTTTCGAATTTAAATTGTGTATATTTGTTTTTTCAAACAAACACTTTTTTGTTTGAAAAAACAAATATAGGCAATTTAAATCCGGAAAAATAGTTTCTTTTCCTATATTTTATGTTCTTTATGATGTTCTTAATGTTGTCTATGTCTTTATGATGTTCTTAATCAAATAAATGCATTTAACGTATCCCTTTCAATCTCAGTTTTAATTTATTAACATAAAACCTCTACATAATACATAGATAAGTACGTACCATCACATCTGTCTCCAAAAGAGGTAGGCAGGAAACCCCCACTTGCTACGGTCTCTATAAAACTATTTCCTTTTTTTAATCATGTTATCAATTGTCGGTATGAAGAAGTTGTGCGCCTGGTGGTAAGCGTCGCGCCTATCCATAACAGTTGAGTGTCAGTTAACGACCTCCATCGTCGAGTGGCTTGCGCGCCTATTTACATGGTGTTGCCGTCTCAGGTCCCGGGTTCGATTCTCGAGGTCTACTTTCGATCTCCGTCCGAAACAGTTACTGTCAAATAAGCAATACTTAACTAAACACATGTTCTGAAGAACAATACAGTTTTCCCTCAAAATAAATATGCCACGAAGGCTTCAACTACGTGAAGAAATAAAAAACGGAAACACTGCATACCTACGCTATGTCAAACTTATTGTAGAAAAGAAGGAAGAGAAGAATGTGAAAAGGAAAAGATCCCCTACAAACTCCCCAGTATCTCCCTCGAATACCCTGGCATCCCTTGAAAGAGCACTGAGTAAGAAAAATAAAGTAAATTCTTATAACTTTAAAACTTCATGTAAATCGCCAAGTAACCAAAGTGAAATTTAGCAATTAAAAGACACTAGCAGCCGTAATAAACATTAGACCACCACCCTCTAGGTAAACAAATAAAAATACATACACGGAAATTAGAAATCTGTAACCGGAAGCCACCTGATGCCCGTGGGGTCAAAGGCCACCACCATTTAAGAGACAAAATATTTAGAATCAGAGTTCTAACAACAAAAAGACAAACTATCCAGCAAATTGCCACAGATTTTTACAAAGACCTATACCACGAAGTAGGAGTTGCGGACCAATATTCTTGATGATTTTGAGCCAAACAGAGCACATGAAACTGAAGAACGTATTCCACCAATTATTAGTAGTGATGTAAAAAAAGCCATTATGACACAGAAAGACAATAAAGCAGCAGGCGAGGACATGATCACCAAAGAACGTCTAAAGGAAACTAAAACAATAGTACTTAGCCCGCTCACGTGTATTTTCAACAAAATTTTAGATAACGAATACATATCTAGACAGTGGATGGGATCAACAATAACGTTGTTACGCAAGAAAGGAGACAGAAACGAAATTGGGAACTATCGACCGATAAGCATAATGTCCAATATGTACAAAGTTTTTTCCAAAGTCATACTAAATAGAATAACAGAAACGTTAGATGAGAACCAACCTATAGAGCAAGCTGAATTCAGAAGAAACTTTTCAACACTTGACCATGTCCATACCATTAAGCAAATAATCCAAAAATGTAACAAATACAACAGAACCTACTATCTTGGATTTGTGGACTACAGTAAGGCATTTGACAGCATAAAACACAAACACTTATGGGTAGCACTCTAACAACAAGGTGTACATCAAAAGTACATCCGAATTTTACAGAAATTTACAGAAACAGCTTCGCAAAAATTAAG